GCGTGTGTCTGTGTGTGTGTTTGTGTGTTTGTGTGTGCGTGTGCGTGTTCGTGTGTGTGTGTGTGTGTGTGTGTTCGTGTGTGTGTGTGTGTGTACACTCGGGGCTGCTTAGTAGGTCTACCATGCCAGCACTCAAGGGCCTCAGGGGCCCATCGGGAGCGCAGCAGAAGGCGAGGAGGCCAGATTCCACGAACGATTGTTCCCCATGTTTGGATGGAGCTGTCTTGGGGCTTCCTTGGGGTAGGCAGGAAACCATGATGAGCCAACTTGAGCAATCTTGTGCCATCTTCCCACTGAGGGCGGAGCCTGCGCAGCATGCGCGCGCCCTGACGGGTTGGCGTCCGCGTCATGACAAGTCACGCATGTGGTTTCCGCATGTTCCTCATTTGGGCCCTCTTCTCCTCCTCCTCCTCCTCCTCCTTCTCCTCCCCCTCCTTCGCCTCCTCCTGCTCCCCCTCCTCCTCCTTCTCCTCCTCCTCTTCATCCTCCTCCTCCTCCTCCTAGCCGCTATTCCCCGCCCTTTCCCGCCCGCGGTCGCCGAGGCCGGGTGAGACTGCGCGGGCCTCCGCAGGACCTCTTCTTCTTCCCTGACCTTCCAGGAGTCGGCGTAAAAATAAAACCAGGACCTTGATGCCTACCTACAGTCCAGTCGAGGTTTTGAGCAGACCAGATAGGTCTAAAGGTCTTGAGTGTTGGAGTGTTGTCCGAGCATTTTCTTTCGATGGAGGGCAAAGGGTGAACTTTGAAATGCCGTTTTGATTGATGTTCGAGGCTTGAACATGCAAAGGGTGAATCACAAGACGGATTGGTCTTCGACGTGCAAAAGCCCATACGGATTTCACCCTGAGCCCTCCTCTCTGAGAGCATGCTCACGCCATGTTCTAGCACTCCGGAAGGTCAGGGTCGGGGGCGCCCGTGCCGGCCCCGCCACAGACGAGATGGGCTCCCAGGCCCAGGGCCACTGGCCCCCGGGACCACCCCCCGCATGCTCGAAACCCGGAGGAGGAGCGGCCCATGTCCCTCTCCTGGGGGTGCAGGTCGGCCAGCGGGGCCCAAGCCGCGCCCACGGGGGCAGGGCTCGGTCGAACGATGCTCATCAGAGCCCGAGTCACCCCGAATCATCAGGGGTAACTCGGGTCAGGGCTAACTCGGGCTCATCTTTCGGGAACCCGAACCCGAGTTACCCCCCAGGCCCGAGTTACCCCAGATAGTTCCGGCGTCCAGAGCCCCAAATCATCAGGGGTAATTCGGGTCAGGGTTAGCTCGGGTTCGTTTTCCCGGGAATCGAAACCCGAGTTACCCTGGACCCGAGTTACCCCAGATATCTCGGGCGCCCAAGCTCAGGGGGGTCGGTTCAACGATGCTCAGCTGTTCGTGAGGGTCAGCGGAGTGCGCCAGCTGCGTACCCTGCACCAGCCATGGCCAGGCCCCTCCCTCCGGGCCCAGGGTTGGGGTTGGGAGGGCGTCTATGCATCGATCTTGGGCCTGGGACGGGAGTGTCAACAGTCGTCGTGCAGCTGGTACGAGGATTCAGCGCAATCATAGTCTTGGAGGGCCACCCCTATGTTCTTCGCCGTTGGGCTCTCCACGCTGGAATGCTCTTGGTTCTGGATATCTCCGTAGGGCCTCGGGCTCTCGGCGAAGGGGCCCATGTTCTTGATCCACGTTCTTGTGACCTTCTCTCGACTGTAGCCTACCCCCCGAGGCCCAACATCGCCCAAAAGCCTCCTCAGACCTCCGACGTCATGATTTTTCATGACGTCGACCCCCACAGGTCTGGACCCACTTCCCCGTGGACCCGCTTTTTTCGTCCTGAGTCCTCCTTCGACGGCCCCGTCGAAAAGAGCGAACACCTTCCCGTCGTAATTCTCTTATGGCCCGAGGGGGTCTGGCCCTTTCCCTCCGGGTTCCCCTCGGGGGTCCCCAAGCGGAGCGGTGACCACACCGTGCGGTGGGGTTGGGGAATTTCGAGGTCACCGCACGGTCTGTCACCGCACCGTTTCGGGACTCCAAATCCCCCTTCCTCCTGGGCCCGCCTTCCTGCGCGCCCTACCGTGGGCGTGACCTTGAGTCGGGCCTGTCCCTCTTCAGGAGGAATCTTCAAAAATAGTCAAAACATGGTCCGGGGGACGATTTTACGACTATTTTTGAGCATTTTCGGCGTACTTTTCTGACTAGGTGTAATTTTTCGCCCGGAATCCCCCTTGTGGGGGGGGGCAGGCCCGACCCGAGCGTGACCGCCCTCCGCCTAAGGGCACCGTCGCGGGGGGGGAGCACCCGCCCCCGTGCCGTGCCGACGGGGCCGGGCGCCCTGCCATCGCAAGGGGCCTGCGGGCGGCAGTCGCTGAGGGGTCCGTCCCTCCCCTCCCAGGAGACCGTTTTTGTTTTGAATCGGCGATAGCCTTCTGTCGGGCGTGTTCCCCTGCAGGGGGACTTTCGACGAAAAACAAAAACTACCCCCAAGAATACTCCAAAAAGGTCAGAACCTATTCCAAACATA